TTCCCATGCCCTCCCTATATCACTGGAGGTTGTTATGAGACTATCTCAAAAAGCCACAGTTGTTGCAATGAGTAGATAAAGTATCTTAGTGGCTTAATTGCCAAGTACTGCTGAATAGTTGACTCCCTGAGGACACTTACAGGTCACTGTGCTATGGGCAGTGCTGTCATTGTCAATAACAGTCAAATCACAGGGGTGCCTAGGGAAGGTCTGAACTGGAGGACTCTTCTTCCGGCAGCAGAATTTCACACAGCTTGCTGTGATCCCACAGAGCAGGAGCATGAATACAGTCAGCAGGATTAACCTTAAAGAAATGGGGAGAACACATCATTTCATTGCTTATGTTTTAGTTCTTCTAGAGCTGAATATAATTTCACTCTAAATCACTGCAAGACAGTCTGAACCTCTTCAGGCTCACTTCTTTATGGGTGCTGGATCCAAAATTGGAAAGCTGGATTGCAAACAACTTAATCACAAGTTAAGTGCCACTGATGAGCATTACGACCCTTTCTGGCTCACAGATACAGTAATATTAAAGACCTTGGGCCAGATTTTCAGTTTGTATGCAGTGAAAATGGCTCCACTATCATCATACATATTTAAGTACATACTCTTGTAGGCATGTACTTAAAGGGAAATACAAGTACAAGCTTTCATAAGTCTAGGACCTATATTTATAAAACACTGCAGAAACTGTATTGCAGTCTGTCTTGAAAATGGAATTCAATCTCTAGCTATTGTCCAACTTCATAGCACACACTGGGTGAGTGCTTTTACAATGATGGAGGTACCTGGAAGACCCACTCTGCAGTAAAAGGAAAGCTCTGAACTGAAATCAAGTCAGCCTTTACTTTCTGTACCAAACATACTTTTTGCAGAAGCAGTGCAGTCAGCATTTTCTGGTGCTAAGAATGAGTACTCACTGAGAGTTTTGGATTCGAATATGCTCCTGAATTTCTCATTGGGATTATATCCCACCCTAAATATGCATAGAAGTGGCCTCACTATCATTATATTTTGCCCATAAAATTCATGATTCCAAAATAAACATTCTTTAATAACTTTTTAACAAGAGACTATTTCTGTTAGTATTAGAGTCAGACACACACAAAGACTATAGTCACCCTAAAGTTTGTATTTGAAAGCCTCAAACTTCCATAGATTCCATAGCATAAGCTCTGGGTTCTTGCAGGAATCCCATGTCGCAGCTATTTCCTTTATGCAGCTGACTTCAATTGCATTTCCTGTAAGTTACTGTTTGGAAAAACCCTTTCAGGCAGTTTAAAACCATGTGTGATAAGAAGGCTCTGCCCTGCTGGAACTTGGCCATGAAACATTCCTCTATTGTGAGGAGTATTAGCTCATCACTAGCCAATCAGCATTTCCTGCCACTCCCAGAGCGGTGTGTTAAGTGTATTCAGCGAAATAATCGTGCCAGCATATGCTGCTCCCCTCTGATGAGGGCAGGGATAACCTAGGTAAAGGGGTAAGTCTCAGTAGTAAACACTAGCTTATTAGCTTCAATGGTTTCAAGTCAGCCAAACTGCAGATTGCCACACTCAAGCCTTCTTAAAATATTGTATGTAACTGTATGTATTTTTAAACAGTTCTGTGCATCAGCATGTCCTGGAAAAAAAACAAACATCAACCTAAATTAGTCCACAGACCACGTGATAACCAATTTGATCTACAAACTATCCAAACTAACCAATTTGATCTACATACTATCAAAGTTAATTATTTGACAAAATATAAGCTATAAAACAATGTTAAGATACATGCCCTTTTTGTCATTAAGCCAACCACTAAACAAGTTTGTAATCAGCTTGAGTAGTCAACACCATAAACTAACAATCTCCTGTCCCTTAACAGAAAGGGAGAGCACTGAGGACTATGTATGCATTAGGCAATGCAATGCCAAGCTCTAACAAGTCCATTCTGTGCAGCCGCTACTGTGTTCAAAGTTGTCTATTTAAAAGGAACAAACAGGCCCTACAGTTAAATACTGATGTACTCAGAATGGAAAGATGACCTGTCTCTAGGTGAACGCTCTCTTCTGCCTTACGACTTATCTTCTGTGGTCTCATTTAACACACTCCACGGGCAGCTTTCACAAAGCTGATGAGCGACCCTTTCCCACATCCTGTGGGAGGGAAGTGTTTTCATTACCTTTCCGTCATTACTGTTCATAACATCTTTCAAATTACTTTGTTAGTAAACTTACCAGACATACCACAGGCTTGTCCAATTAGACATGTTCTGAGGGCATCTGTGAAGGAAAGCAGATAATTCACTAATTTAAATATCTATGCTCAGTTAATTTATGACAGGAAATAAATTTCATGTCATTTATGAGGTGAAAAAAAGGAAAGCAATCAGTAAGAAAATGGAGCAAAGCCCCTCTAGATTTAGTTTCAAAGGGCTATTCTTCATAGTTGTAAGATCATTACAGCTGAGAACATGCGAATTCCCCTGTAAAAAACTGAGTTCTGAGTAAATGAATGGTTTTACAAAGTGGTACTTCACTGTCCTTTATGAGGGAGAACTACCCATGCTGGATTTTCAAAAGCCCTATGAAATAATTTGAAGTTAACAGAGCGCCCTAGGCCTGTCTGAAAATGCCAGCCTAAGACAACTTCCTGCCTCTCTTATTTACTTTTGAATTACTTCCTGCCTCTCTTATTTACTTTTGAATTACTTTTTCCATGGCTCCAGTACAACTAGAGTTGTCCTATTCAGATCTTCTTATAGAACCAAAAAAAAAAAAGAACAGCTTCCAATACATTCAGAAGAGTAGCTGCCAAAACAGTATTATAATTAGTGAATTGCATGCAATGGATTTGACACAACAGAGCAATCCTGAGATTTGGAAAATTGTGATTACTCACCGATCATAGGTCTCACAATTATTCTCAGAAGAACAGAGCGATGCCTAGTAAAGGAAAAAAAGAATCGGATAAGCAGAGGGCCAGAAGTAAAGCACTTTGATGCATCTGCTTAGCCAAGTCCAGCGTGAGTTTTCAATGACTGCTACGCGTGGCAGCCACAGCCTCCACGGTGCTGCATGAAGTTACAGATCGCCCCGCTGGAGACGGGGTGAACCCAAATGGAGTTTCTTCCGTGGCCTGTAACAAAACACCCGAGCCTCTAAGGGGGGAACACGCATATCTTCATGAGAATCAAAATCCGCACTCTGCGCCTGGAGCTAACTCCAGAAGAGGCAGACGGATAAAAAAAATCGTAATTCATCACTCCGGGTGCCTTGACTGAGCAGAACGATGCCGTCGCCCAGCGGCGAGGCCGGAGAGAGACGCGAGGAAAGGCGCGTACGGCGCGCGCTCCCGCCTGGGAGAAGCTGCCCACGGCGGCGAGCGCAAGGCAGGACCCG